GCCTCCCAAAGGCGCGGGATTACAGGCTGAGGCCCCGAGCCTGGCTTTTTTTTTTTTTGTTGTTAAAGTCAGAGTCTCACTGTCACCCAGGCTGGAGTGCAGTGGCACGCTCATGGCCACCGCAGCCTCCACCTGCCGGGCTCAGGTAATCCTTCCACCTCAGGCTTCCAAGTAGCTGGAACCACAGGTGCACGCCTCCATGCCTGGCTAATTTTTTTTTCATTTTTTGTAGAGACAAGGTCTCACCAAGTTGCCCAGGCTGGTCTCGAACCTGTGGACTCAGGCAATCCACTTGCCTCTGCCTCCCAAAGTGCTGGGATTAGAGGCATGACCTACTGCGCCCAGCTACACACAATTCTTGAGTTCTTTGTCTTTTCTTTCTTTTCTTGTTTAATAAAAAAACCTAGGCTGGGCTCAATGGTTCAGCCTAATCCCAGCTCTTGGCCACCACAGCCTCCACCTGCCGGTGGAAGGATCACTTGAGCCCAGCAGGTCGACACTGGGGTGTCCATGAGTGAGCCACCGCACTCCAGCCTGGGTAATGGAGTGACACTCCAACTCAAAAAAAAAAATTTGGGCCGGCCATGGTGACTCACACCTATAATCCTAGCGCTTTTGGGAGGCCAAGGCTAGAGGGTTGTTTGAGCCCAGGAGGTCGAGATCAGCTTGGGCAAAATAGCGAGCCCCAGTCTCTACAAAGAAATAGAAAAAATAGCCAGGCATGGTGGTGCACGCCTGTAGTCCCAGCACTTTGAGAGATGGAGGTGAGACGATTGCCTAAGCCCAGGGGTTTGAGACCAGCCTGGGCAACTTGGTGAGACCTCATCTCAACAATAAAAATTCGCCAGGTGTGGTGGCACGCACCTGTGGTTCCAGCTACTTGGAAGGCTGAGGCAGAAGGATCGCCTGAGCCTGGAGGTTGAGGCTGTGGCAGCTGTGATTGTGCCACAGCGCTCCAGCCTGGGTGACAGAGTGAGACTCTATGTCGCTCAGGCTGGTCTCAAACTCCTGGCTTTGGCCTCCCAAAGTGCTGGGATTATAGGCATGACCTTTTCCAGAACATTTTCCTACCCCCAAAAGAAACCCCATACCCATCAGCAGCCCCCCGCCATGCCTCTCCCCCGACCCCTGCAGTCTGTTCTCTGTCTCTATGGATTTGCCTGTGCTGGACATTTCCTGAGTGGAATCCAACAATACACGGCCTTTGGTCTCTGGCTGTTTTTGCTCAATCACGTTTCTGCGGTTCATCCACGTTGCCACATGGACCAGCACTTCGCTGCTTTTCATGGCTGCATCATATTCCATTGTGTGGACCGACCACATGCTGGTTATTAATTTTCAGCAGATGGACCTGTGGGCTGTCTCTGCCTTCCAGCTACTGTGAAAAGTGCTGTTAAGGACACCTGTTTTCAGTTCTTCTGTATATGTATCTAGGAGTGGAACTGCTGCGTCTCATGGTGAGTCTATGTTTAACTTTTTGAGTTGTCCAACTGTCTTCCACCAGCTGTGTTATTTTAACATTCCCACCAGGAACACACGAGGGTTCCAGCTTCTCTACATTCTTTTTTTGTTTGAGTGGGAGTCTCACTCTGCCGCCCAGGCTGGAGTGCAGTGGCACACTCACAGCCACCCTGGTGTTGACCTGCTGGGCTCCGGCGATCCTTCCACCTCAGTCTTCCAAGTAGCTGGAACTCTATGTGCACGCCACCACGTCCGGCTATTCTTTTTTTAATTGTATTGATCAGGTCTCCCCAAGTTGCCCAGGCTGGTCTCCAACCCCAGGGCTCAGGCAATTCTCTGGCCTCCACCTCCCAAAGTGCTGGGATTACAGGTGTGAGCCACTGCACGTGGCTCGTTTTTTGTTTTTGATAGCAAGGGAAGTTTTTGCAAGCTCCAAGTCAGCTGGCCGAATCTACAGGTTGTCCATACTGCCAAGCTAGTGCAGTGTCCTTGACACCCCAGAGCCACCCATGTCCCATGATCGCCCAGGAGCAGAGAGAGGTCAGGACAGCTGCGAAAAACTCCAAAACGGGACAGGGAGATGGAAAGAGACACCTCTTCCCGGCCCCTCAAGCCAAACTCCACAGCAGCCGGAAGGTGCCAGAGGCCAGGAGGCTGCAGAACTCCAGAAGGGAGAGAGTTTGGGACCAGCTGTTTTGGGAATGGACACTTGAAAGTAGACATCACCCATCGGGACACATTACTGACAGAAGAGTCACATGGCAGGCCTGGGTGAGGGGAGTGGTCTGACGGCGCCCAGCCTTGGTGTTGGAGTCAGCATGGGGCAGCAGGCAGCAGGGGATGCTGCCTCCATGCAGCAAGAAACCGCCTGACACATGCTGCCCCCGCAAGCTGTCTGGGCCATGGAATGGCCTCTTCCGGCCCAAGAGCTCAGAGAGGACATGCCGGAGGGTTTCACTTCCCAAGAAGGGATCCAGGCATCTTCTGACGCCCCAGGTAATGAGCCGAGTCCTCAGAGGGCCTCCCCCATGTCTGACTTTCCCTACAGAGCCTTGGGGGATGCCACGTACTCAGTGCTCCCCACCCAAGACCACGTACAGCAGGGAGGACAGGTCTTCAGAGATGTCAGTTCCCTTCTCCTCTGCCTAGGTTTACCAGGGAGAAACCGTGATGCCTGAGCTTTATCTAGTATTTATTGAGCATTAACTCGATGCCTTGCCAGTCGCTGAGTTAAGCTCAGAATCAGACAAGAAGATACACACAAATAGAAACAAGGCGACATAGTAAAAGATAGTAAAAGAAGTGCAGGAACATCACATCACATCAGTAAAGATGTGGTCTCCGTGCATGGGGTCTTGGCGAATGTGTAGGAGTTCGTTCACCAGGAACTCAGGGCATCGATTATATAGAGGTTGCAAGCTAGTCCCTCCGACCACAACAATGCTCCCCGCCCCCACATCCTGTTTGGTCCTCACTGTGTTCTGAAAGGACTGAGTTAGTGGCCAACAGTTAAGACTAGGAGATAGCCGGGCTCAGTGGCTCAGCCTGTAATCCCACACTTTGGGAGGCTGAGATGAGTGGATTGCCTGAGCCCACGGGTTTGAGACCTGCCTGGGCA